CTGGGGACACAGGGACAGCATCGCCCGCTGTGCTTCCGCTGCGCCTCCAACCAGTGAGTGACACAAACTGGGGACACTGGGGACACTGGGGACACAGGGACAGCATCGCCCGCTGTGCGTCCAACCAGTGAGTGACACAAACTGGGGACACTGGGGACAATGGGGACAATGGGGGAACAGGGACAGCATTGCCCGCTGTGCCTCCAACCAGTGAGTGACACAGACTGGGGACACTGGGGACACTGGGGACACTTTCCCCATTTTTCCTCATTTTTTCCCCATTTTTTCCCGGATCATTCCCCATTTTTTCCCAATCATTCCCCATATTTTCCCTGATCTTTCCCAATTTTTTCCCCAATCATTCCCCATTTTTTCCCCGATCTTTCCCCATTGTTTTCCCAATCTTTCCCCATTTTTTCCCCATTTTCCCCCTGAACTTTCCCCACTTTCCCCCATTTTTTCCCAGATAATTCCCCATTTTTTCCCCATTTTTTCCCCACATTTTCCCTTTTTTTCCCCCATTTTTTCCCCACTTTTCCCCATTTTTACCCAGATAATTCCCCATTTTTTTCCCCATTTTTTCCCCACTTTTCCCCATTTTTTTCCCCATTTTTTTCCCGACATTTTCCCCAATCATTCCCCATTGTTTTTCCCATTTTTCCCATTTTTTCCCCATTTTCCAGCCCCCTGGTGCGGCAGATCCGCCGCGATTGCTCCGACTCCTTCGGGGCCTTCGAGCGCTGCCTTCGGGAGCACCCGGGGGCTGTGGGGGAGTGCGGCCCCCACGTCAGCGCCTTCCTGCTCTGTGCTGAAAATGTCACCCCAAATGTCACCCCTGATGTCACCTCTGGTGCCACCCCCAGGGACAGCCCTGGGGACACCTCTGGAGGTGAGTTTGGAACTGGGATTTTGGGGTAAAAATGGGAAAAAAACCCTAAAAACGGCTCCCATGTCACCCCCATTCCTGCTCTGTGCTGAAAATGTCACCCCAAATGTCACCTCTGATGTCACCTCTGGTGCCACCGCCAGTGCCACCCCCAGGGACACCCCCAGAGGTGAGTTTGGAACTGGGATTTTGGGGTAAAACCCACTAAAAATGGCCCCATTCCTGCTCTGTGCCGAGAGTGTCACCCCCAATGTCACCCCCGATGTCACCTCTGGTGCCACCCCCAGGGACAGCCCCGGGGACACCTCTGGAGGTGAGTTTAGAACCTGAATTTTGGGGTAAAATGGGAAAAAACCCTAAAAGTCACCCCATTCCTGCTCTGTGCTGAAAATGTCACCCCCAATGTCACCCCCGATGTCACCTCTGGTGCCACCCCCAGGGACANCCAGGGACAGCCCCAGGGACACCCCCAGAGGTGAGTTTGGGACCCGAATTTTGGGGTAAAACCCACTAAAAATGGCCCCATTCCTGTTCTGGGCCCAAAGTGTCACCCCCAATGTCACCCCCGATGTCACCTCTGGTGCCACCCCCAGTGCCAACCCCAGGGACACCTCTGGAGGTGAGTTTAGAGCCCAAATTTTGGGGTTAAAATGAGAAAAAACACCTAAAAATGGCCCTGTGCACCCCAAATGTGGCCCCTATTCCTGTTCTGGGCTGCAAATGTCACCCCCAATGTCACCCCCGATGTCACCTCTGATGTCACCCCCAGTGCCACCCCCAGGGACACCTCTGGAGGTGAGTTTGGAGCCCGAATTTTGGGGCAAAAATGAGAAAAAAACACCTAAAAATGGCCCTGTGCACCCCAAATGTGGCCCCTATTCCTGTTCTGTGGCAAGAGTGTCACCCCCAATGTCACCCCCGATGTCACCTCTGGTGCCACCCCCAGTGCCAACCCCAGGGACACCTCTGGAGGTGAGTTTAGAGCCCGAATTTTGGGGTAAAAATGGGAAAAAAACCCCTAAAAATGGCTCCATTCCTGCTGTGGGCTGAGAGTGTCACCCCAAATGTCACCCCCAATGTCACCTCTGGTGCCACCCCCGGGGACACCTCTGGAGGTGAGTTTGGAACTGGGATTTTGGGGTAAAAGTGGGAAAAACCCACTAAAAATGGGGGGAAAACATAAAAATTCCCCCATTCCTGCTCTGGGCTGAGAGTGTCACCCCCAATGTCACCCCCGATGTCACCCCCGATGTCACCTCTGGTGCCACCCCCAGTGCCAACCCCAGGGACACCTCAGGAGGTGAGTTTGGAACCCGAATTTTGGGGTAAAAATGGGAAAAAAACCCTAAAAATTGCCCCGTTCCTGCTCTGTGCTGAGAGTGTCACCCCAAATGTCACCCCCGATGTCACCTCTGGTGCCACCCCCAGTGCCACCCCCGGGGACACCTCTGGAGGTGAGTTTAGAACCCGAATTTTGGGGTAAAAATGGAAAAAATACCCTAAAAATTGCCCCGTTCCTGCTCTGGGCTGCAAATGTCACCCCCGATGTCACCCCAAATGTCACGCCCGATGTCACCTCTGGTGCCACCCCCAGGGACAGCCCCGGGGACACCTCTGGAGGTGAGTTTAGAGCCCGAATTTTGGGATAAAAATGGGAAAAACAGCTAAAAATGGCCCCCACGTCAGCGCCTTCCTGCTCTGTGCTGAAAATGTCACCCCAAATGTCAGCCCGATGTCACCNCTGGAGGTGAGTTTAGAGCCCGAATTTTGGGATAAAAATGGGAAAAACAGCTAAAAATGGCCCCCACGTCAGCGCCTTCCTGCTCTGTGCTGAAAGTGTCACCCCAAATGTCACCTCTGATGTCACCTCTGGTGCCACCCCCAGGGACAACCCCAGGGACACCTCTGGAGGTGAGTTTGGAACCCGAATTTTGAGGTAAAACCCACTAAAAATGGCCCCATTCCTGTTCTGTGCTGAAAGTGTCACCCCAAATGTCACCCCCGATGTCACCTCTGGTGCCACCCCCAGGGACAGCCCCGGGGACACCTCTGGAGGTGAGTTTGGAACCCGAATTTTGGGGTAAAAATGGGAAAAAACCCCTAAAAATGGCCCCATTCATGCTCTGTGCTGAGAATGTCACCCCAAATGTCACCCCAAATGTCACCCCCAATGTCACCCCCGATGTCACCTCTGGTGCCACCCCCAGTGCCAACCCCAGGGACACCTCAGGAGGTGAGTTTGGAGCCCGAATTTTGGGGTAAAAATGGGAAAAAACCCTAAAAACGCCCCCCACGTCAGCGCCTTCCTGCTCTGTGCTGAGAGTGTCACCCCAAATGTCACCTCTGATGTCACCTCTGGTGCCACCCCCAGGGACAACCCCAGGGACACCTCTGGAGGTGAGTTTGGAACTGGGATTTTGGGGTAAAAGTGGGAAAAACCCACTAAAAATGGGAAAAAAACCTAAAAGTGGTCCCATTCCTGCTCTGTGCTGAAAATGTCACCCCAAATGTCACCCCCGATGTCACCTCTGGTGCCACCCCTGGTGCCAACCTCAGGGACACCTCTAGAGGTGAGTTTAGAGCCCAAATTTTGGGATAAAAATGGGAAAAAAAACCCTAAAAATGGCTCCACTCCTGCTGTGGGCTGAGAGTGTCACCCCAAATGTCACCCCCGATGTCACCTCTGGTGCCACCCCCGATGTCACCTCTGATGTCACCCCCAGAGGTGATTTTGGAGCCCGGATTTTGGGATAAAATTGGAAAAAAACCCCTAAAAATGGCCCTGACCCTAAATCCAACCCCATCCCCAAATGTGGCCCCATCCCCAAATGTGACCCTGTCTCCCCCTGCCTCAAAAAAATGCCAAAAAAAGGAAATTTTGGGAGAGAAATTTGGGATAAAATCGGGAGCAGAACCCCCCAAATGCGTCCGTTTTTCCTCAGGAAAAGATGGAAAAAGGAAATTTGGGATCAAAATTGGGATTAAAATCCCTCAAATGCATCCCGGTTCTTTCCTGCCTCGGGAAATGATGGAAAAATGGATTTTTTAGGAAGGAAA